AACCCCATGGCCCTCATAACTATAAATATGCATTAGTGTCTTTATTCTTGCCATGGGTTGCACTGGAAGATGTAGATTGTAATTACCATCTTTAGAATTGATGGGATTCCAATAACTTATGCATGGAATTACAAATATAAACTTTTTGAATTGAGATGAAGATCAGGAAGGGCCCTCTATAGATCCTCTCCTGGGCTCCAGGTGGCAAACTTCCTGTCTCTCAGGTCCATTTCCAGGCAGGGTGTGAAACTCTAGCCCCTCACTTCTCAAGCCAGGTAGCTTAGTTCAAGATAATGGCAATTTGAGTGGAAATTACAGTGATTTCCTCCCATTTGAGAAATGACTGGGGAGAAGCAAGAAGTTATTTCTCTAGGGCCCTACAACATAGGCTAAGTTTTGATATGTGTGCAAGGGATTTACTACTGAGATCTGCCTTCTTCTTGATGTGGGTTTCCAGGAAACTATAGATAAGATTAATGGCATTATGGGATTATCTGAGTAACAGTGCCATGGGCCTTCACAGAGGTTGGAACTCCTTTTTCATGACTTGAGGCAGCTTATTTCACCACTTGTGCCTCAGTTTCCTTGTCTTTAAAGTGGGTTTGGCAGTAGTGCCTACCTCATAGGATTTTGATGAGAACTAATTAAGCTGAAGTATCTAAGGCAACTGTATAAGTATGCAGTGTCCACTGGCTCTAATTAGTAAGTCCCAAGCATCAAATCAAGTATTCGCCATAGCTCATGAAATGGTCCTACACTTCTGGACAAGTTGATATTGCTATCCCATCAAGGCAGAGACTGAGCATCAGGCTAACCATTCAACTGGCTGTGTAGCCCGGACAGCACGCGAGGGTCTGGATCTCATGCAGCTTTGGACATGCCCACACATGGCTGGGCCATGGCCCTCATGTATTTTTGCTGCTGAAGTCTAGCCCATGGGGTACAAAGACTAGATTCCATCTCCTCTCCTTGGCAGATGCTGGGCTCTGAGACTGCTTCGTCCCGCCCACAGCCTGTGGTAAGCACTCTAGATGGCAATGCTTGCATCCTGAAAGTAGCTTCACCTGGTCCATGTCTTCACTGAGCCCAGCCCATTCCTTGGAGAAATGGATTTGAGTGAGTGTACTCATTATGTGATTCAGAAGATGTGTTTTGGAGACCAGAGGGCTCAAAAGAAAATTTTTAAAATATGTTTCCATTTGGAAATCTTGTTTGAGAGATGCAATTGGCCATTTAATATAAGCTTCTTGAGTCAGAATAGCTCCCAAACAGCCACAGTCCCTGTTTCTCAGGAGACACCCAGTTGTCTGGGGAGGCCACTCTCCCTACGGGGATTTGCCATGGATACCGCTGTGCTGCACAGAGGTGCTCTGTGGCCAGGGCTACAATTACCATGCCCTGACGTCCATGCTATTTAAACCTCTTGAGTAGTACCAGCTTTACATTACTGAGGTAGAGAGGCCAGAAAGATCACCTGCCTCAGGGATAGGAGTAGCAACTAGTTGTTAAGCCCGAGGCGCACTTTACCATTATGCCCTCTGTGAACTTGGCATGTTGCTGTTCCTTAGACTCTGTATCTGGAGGGAGAAAAAGTAGTACCCATCCTGTAGGATTGTGTTAAGGATAAAATGAGTTAATACGTGTAAAATGCTTATAAGAATGACTAGAATATATAGGAAGTGCATACTGTTTTCACTGCTATTACTGCTGTTGGTATTATTAATACCCTCCAACATAATAATTTGACTTTGCATAGGTATTAGAGAAGACTGTTGGAGTGATAGTAAATTGGTGTGGCTTAAAGCATGTAGCCCTGCGGTCTCGGTCCCTTTTAAGTCAAAAAGAATGCAGAAGGAAAAGAATCTGAACATTCACAGAAGTAGACCTGAAGGGAATTGCTTGGCACTGTCTTTGCAATTCCTAAGTGGCCAATTGGCTTGAAGATAAGGAGTTAGAGCTCTTCATAAGATTAAGATAAGTGTGCAAGCTGTGGGAGTTTTACTTTGCCAGTAGTTTACTTATCGAGCATCCTTTCGCTGATACTTGCTATGTGACAGGAAGCCTGGCTTATCTCGCAGAGTCTAAGAAGGCTGAGGGTTGAGTATCTGTCTCCTCCCGGCATGCCTACACTCATGCACGCACACACTCACTTGTGTGCACAGGTGGCCACACACTCACACAATGCACGCATGCACCATCTATGAGGTTGTGCTGGCTGTGTACATGGAACTCAAGGGCTATCTTTCCAAAGTTTGAGCCTGAATTGGTTTCTCTCTTATTTGCGTGTTTTGTCTGCCAGGTAGCAAGGTAGGATTGATTTACTAAGAAAGAAACTGACATTCAATGGTCCACACCGCAGACTTTCGTTTCAGTCTGGTGGATGACAGCCCCTCATTGTGTCTGGAGCCTATAGGTAGTTTGCTCCTCCCAGCATTTGGCTGAAGGCTCCCTTGGCAGTCTATCCTCCACCAAGCTCCCTGGGACACTTCATTTTTGTTTTGTTTGCTGGACAAGGAGAGGCCCCGGAAAGGCTGTCACTCAGAGGGACAGGTTCCCTTTGTGAGAGTGGCCAGCCAAGCCTGCAGCTGAAAAGGTCAGCAAAAACAAACAGTATTTCTAAAGGGCCTTGTGCCTTTCCTTCCTCTCGATTCTCATCGCCTCATCCAGCAGGTGTTGCCCGAGTGACTGCAGAGAACCTGTTAGACTTGCTGAAGAATCCACTGCACAAAAACATCCTCTCTACTTCACCTCGCTCTGATGCTTGGGTTTTGTTGCTGTTGCTTTTATTATTGTTTTTAAGGACCCATTTGCTAACGACACAAACAGAACAAAACGAAGATCAGTGTCTTTTCAAGCTTTGCTTCTTATTTCTTGTTGTGTCATGTTCAGAATGAAGGGAGGTAATACAGAATTTTATTTGTTGTCCTTCTACCTGTGTGTTTTTAAGGCACTGTTTTCTAGTGTTGGGAGTCTGCTTCCTGCACTAGAAGAAGAAAGGTGACAACTGCAGTAGCCTGGCCCCATCTTCGTCCTCATGGAACAGTTTAGCTGGGTCTTTCTTTTCTCTGCAAGTGCTCTAGGGATGTGAATAGATCCCGAGGCACATGGCAAAGTGGTTCAGAGCATGTGTTTTGCTGTTGAATGATAGAGATGGCCAGCTCCGTCATTTAGTAACTGACTTTGAGAAGTTATTTATTTTTCTGAAGTTCAGTTTTTTCACCTTTACATAGTACAGTTATGTCTAAACTTCAAACCTCGGCATTCTGCTAAAGATGAAACACAGAGGGCTTCAAAGGTGCTGCATACTGCAGCAAGGCGGGATCAACTCTCTGACGTCAGCTCTGGCTTGTCGAACAAAGAAATGAGGTTTAGGAGGCACTTATAGCTCTAGAAAAAAAAGAAAAAAAAAAAAACTTCCCTGGGTTTCATGCTTCTCTGAGCCTCTACTTTCCTGTTGGTACATAAGCAGCATTTTCCTAAGCTCCTTTTGGGCTTATCAAGAGAAAATCTAGTCTAGATTCTAGGCCTGGCCTCAACTCACATGGAATGATGCCTAGCACCTGGGCTACTATCCAGAACCAACTTGAGCAGGTCTCCCCAGAGAAGGGCTGTCACAGAGGATCGAGGAAATGCTCAGAAGGAATCTGGCACCGCCACATTAAGGCAGTGCGATCCCTTAACTATCCCAGGTGGAGTTTACTCAAATGAACACTGGTGATAATAGAGTCCTAAAGGAACGACAAGTTTTCAGTTAAGGTCTTTGAAGTCTTTTGCGATTGTCACACACAGGGTTAAATAGAAGAGTGGTTTTCAAGCTTCCGATAGATTTCAGATTAATGTCTACAAAGCTCACAAAACTCTTTGCTTTAAATAATCATTTACCCAGTTGATACCAGTTGTACTTCATTTTCAGTCCCATTCACTCATGGGAGCAAATAGCAGGCCTTGGGACTATCGATTAGAAGTGGGGTTTTGGGAGAATTTCAATGGGACGTTCATTCATTCATTCTACCAATACAGCACCAATTTGCAGTCAGTCACTAGTGTAGGTATTAGCACTATATTTGCAAACCAGTGAAAGGCCTATGCCTTCTAAAGCTGACCTTCTAGAGAGGACATGACCCACACTTAACAAATGCACACATTGATAAGTATATAATTGTGAAAACAAGAGGCAGGTGAGGTGAGAGGGAGGCTGGAACTGCACAGGAGTACTCAGGGAAAGATTTGGAGGGGGGGCTGCAGAGGTGAAATTCTGAAGACAAAAGTGAACCACCCACGTGACTGAGCATGGAACATTCCATACGGAGGGGACAGCAGATGTGTTTTCTCAGAGGGGAAGGAGTTCGCGGTGCCTGAGGGAATGGACAGAAAGCTTTGTGCTCTGTGTGGAGCAGAGTGAGCCACTTAGAGGCTAGAGGGGGCGACCCCAGCCAGATTGCCCTGGGCTTGACCATGATGAGCAAATTTGTTCTGGGTGCAGTTAGAAGCCTGGGAGGGCATAAGAGGAAGCAACAGTACTTGACTATAGAAAAATGCTCATGATGCAAGATTAAATGGAAAAAAGGACTTTGAGATATGTTAGCACTATTTATTAAGCTATATAAGCCTCTCTCTCTCTCTCTCTCTCTCTCTCTCTCTCTCTCTCTCTCTCTCTCTCTCTGATGTATGTGTGTTCAGTAAAGAACCTGGAGGAAGATACGGTAATTTTGTGGTTTTTCCATAAGTTTGTGTCACTCAGAATTGCATGCTTTTTGAAAGCTTCTTGGGTAAGCAGTGGAGAGAATGCAAAGCACTCAGTGGTTTAGCACATCTTATCTTTAAGATCAGCTTAAAGCAGTATTGTTTTAAATTCCAGAGTGGACGTTGAAGGCCCCCGTCAGTAGTTTGTTGGCTTTAGAATGAGTCTTCCCTAAAATGAACTTCTCAAATGCTCATCTGTTTTTGTGTGTGTGCAAACTGTTTGTGCAGAAGATTAACATTTCTGGTTCATCCCCTAGATTTGAACATCACATGCCGCTATGCAGGCGTTTTCCACGTGGAGAAAAACGGACGCTACAGCATCTCCCGGACGGAGGCAGCTGACCTCTGCAAAGCGTTCAACAGCACCCTGCCCACCATGGCCCAGATGGTGCGAGCTCTCAACAAGGGGTTTGAGACCTGCAGGTAAGGGACAGGACGGGCAAGCAGCCCCTTGGGGAAAAGCCCAGGCCAGGTTCTGGGGGGCGGGGCATAGGACCGGAAGGCCCCTCCCTGACAGCCGCAGGGATCCTTGCCTGAAGAGTCAGCCCCACCTATTCATTTGGTGAAATCAATGTGAACCAGTATGACAACTGGAATTGAAAGCCTGCTAAACACACCTCTGTGAATCAGAGCGAGGGAGGCTGGAGGAAGCCATTAGGGTCATATCGGTTAGAATCCTCTTGCCTAATGTGCTTCCACTGCAATTCTCCCGCCTTTGAAGATGTGCGCAATATCATTGTCGAACCACAAGAAAACGCAAAGCAAATAACAGTGTTTAAAATAAGTAGGTGGCTGCTGGAGCCTTGCTCCTTGCAGGCTTGGCCCAAAGCAGGCCTTTTAAACATCCCTCTTTTCTTTCTCCTCTGTGTTGCTCCGGCTTGAGGAAGTAAGTAAACGAGTATGAGTGTGTTTAGATTTATTAAGATATATTACAATTAAGATCTCTGAGAGGGCACCTTCCAAGTACCTCCGGGCCCTGCAGAGCCCTTCTCAAATCGGTTTGCTCCAGGATAATCACAGCAGGATGAGATCTTATTTTTCGGATTTCCATGACATGTGGCCCACGTGGTGACAAGCGAAGAGAGGTTTGGCGGTTTGGTTTGATTTCAGTAGGAGGGGACTGGATGATGCGCACAAAGCTCTGAAGCGCCCACCGCATCCTGCAGCTCAGGTAGCGCAGTCCTGACCCCATGTCCCCACCCCGTCACCCCCATCCCCTCCTCCCGCCCCTCCCCCTCTTCTGGGTCCACCGCAGCCCTCCTTGGGGAAACCATTGCGCGTAAGTTCAGCGCATCAGTCCCCTGTCCTTGATGACAGAAGCACCGACTTGCCTCAGGAGTGGCAGCCAGGACTCCTCCTAAGAAGAGAAGGATACCTTTAGTATAAAATGATTGCAATATGATAATTACCAGCCACATTTGACAACTGATACACTTTAATTAATTACAATTAAATAATATTAAGACTTCGGTGGCCCTAGCTATATTTTAAGAGCTCAATTAACCAAAAATGGCCAGTGGCTACTGTGTTGTATGATATATTACAGTTTTCATCATTGAAGAAATTCTTTTGGAGCAGTGCTACATAATGAGGGGCAGATGGGTGGAAACTTTTATCTGCGTGTGCTCAGAGATGGATCAGGAGTAAGTAAAAGGAACCCAGGAACACACCACCCTGGTAGCCCCTGAACCTGAAGTGCAGGCAGCTATGAAGGAGGACCCGTTAGCAAATTCATTTATTCTCTCCCTAGGGCTGATCTGGTCCTGATGGGGCCACCAGGCTAAGACGGGTGATTTAGCAAGTTGGATTTCAGTAGTGAAACACAGGCAAGGCAAACTGGGTATGATCGAGACACTCTGAGAACATGGGGCTCTTACCTGCCAGGAGACATCAGGGAACAGCAGGATGGTGGGAGCCCAGCTGTCCCTTTGGCTCAGGCAGTCCTTGAGCTGCCCAGGGGGTGGGCATCACTGCCCTACTTTATGGAGAATGTAATGAGGTATAGGGTATTTCCTGCAACTGGTCCTGCAACTCACAGACTGCTCAGGGAAGAGCCAGATTGGGTCCTCCTAAGTCTGAGCCCAGGAGATGTTAAAGACCAAGCCCTCCCCAGGGACTGAAGACAAAAAGGAGCAGCATACATTGCATGCATTTGCTGAATATTTTTCTTTTCCCTGCAAATATTAACCTATTTATGCCACAGCCAAACATACATCTTTTTTTTTTTAATTTTATGTATTTAGGACAGGGTCTACAGGGTCTTAATACATAGATCAGACTCGTAGTGATCCTCCTGTTTTTAGCCTCCCAAGTGCTGGGATTACAGGTGTGCACCACCATGCCCAGTCTCAATGCCATCTCAATGTTCCCTGGGGGCAGGGCCGGTATGGCTTGTGGTGCCAAGGATTGAACCCCGGTCCCTGCACTCTACCTAAGCAGATGCTTTAGTTCACTGAGCTATCTGGCTGGCCCCCAAACATACATCTTAGTATTCCCACCTCATGTCTGGGGAGGACTGGCCCACCCTGCCAGTCTACTAGTTTGTCACCTGACCCAGGGGTGAGCAAGGATGAAAGACAGAGAGAGACACACAGTTAGTTGAGCACAGCAGCCAGAGGGCCCCTAGCGTCTGGCCCATCCTGCCTTTATTCACTCAGATACGGGCACTAACAATTTAAGTAGCACAAGACTCATCTGTCTTTCAACAGCCACCAGTACACGCTCAGGTAAACAACTCGATCTCAGCCGTCCTGACTTCTCCCTAGAGCCTGCAACAAGCCATCACCCCTGCACACAACCTTTCTCTTTTGTGGCCACAGAGAAGGCTAGCTAGGCCTCCACTCTACCTAACTGGTCTCCCACGCATGCCAATGTGTTTCCACGGGCAACAGGCCATACGGCACAACAAAAATTCAGCTATGACTTACGAAGGGCCTGTGTTAGATTTTAGAGTGCCAGTGTTATATGCAGTTGTCAACATGATGTGAAGGGGGAACAGTGGGGGGGGGGGAGACAGAGAGAGACAGAGAGAGAGAGGGAGAACTGTGCCAAAGAAATCTATCATTTCACCTATAACTGGCATTAAGTATTGCAAAATTCATTTCCGTACTTTCACTTAAGTAGCTATGAATCAGATGCTTGCACAGGCCAAATGGAAGTCTCACAGGCTAGGATAAACCTCAGCAGCTAATACTCTTTTACCTGCCCCACCCTGATTATAACAACCCTCATAGGTGAAAACTTATTAACATTTAATTGACCCCCCCCCCCATTGGGTGAAGGGGACTTTGGGGAACCAGTCTGTCCATGCAGGCAGGAATGAGTCATGCGAACTACTGTTGCAACATAGAGAGAGCGAGTTCTAGGTGCTTAAAAATCAAGCTTTCTCTGGATCTCATAGGACAATGCACTCTGAGCCTTTGCCTCTGACAGGAGAGATTAAAATACAGATCATTTTAGCCAGTACTGCATTGTCAAAACTCAGCTGGATTTCACTCTTCCCTTCTTCCTGTCCTCCAAAAGGTATCACTTTCTCCCTTGCAAATAGTAGTTTTTCAGCCCATTTTTCATTGCTTGATCAGGCTCTATCTGGAAAAATAATGTGGCATGTGTATGTGGCTGCCAGGGTGCTTCTGGAAGCAGCCGGGGCTCTGTGCTTTGCATCTGAAAGGAGCTCCAGCTGTCATGTGCTCCCAGGGCCATCCCCATAGTGAGCGGGGCCTAAATGCTTTACTAGCTTCGCTGCTTCTGGAATGTAGTAGAGCAAAATGAGCCACTGCCACCTACTCCCTTAATGGAAATACTCTCGTCTTGATGATGGTCAGTTTAGTTCTACTGGTGGGAGTTTTGCCAGGGGTGCTCACGAAGCATACGTGGTGGTGTTTCCCACACAAACAAGGCTTTGTGTTTCCAATGATGGAATGCATAGTGAAAAGGTAAGACTAGGAATGAAGAGCGCTGGATGGGAACCGAGGCTGGGCTGAAAGGAAGAACCACCTCTTTCCATCTGAGGGAAGTAGGCCATGTTGAGTCTTGTCCGGAAAATACACGGTGCACACTGTGGTCTCTCCACTGTAACTCAGGCTTTCTTCAGCTTGTTTCAGCCAACTCAGTGATGCTGACCACCAGTTATATTTGAGACTATTTTGTTCATGGATTTTCTTTAACAAAACAAAGAACTGTACATGAATCTTCTAATAAAAACCCTCTGTCTCTATCTGCTCCGTTGATCTCTTTTACCCTCCTGTCTGTTATGATCGATTTTACATATCTTAACTGTTGAAACCTCCACTATTCCTGGGAATAAATGGAATGAAGCATTGCTTTGCTTTAGATGGCACGTGATGGGGTCTTAGGAAATTCCTGCTGCAGCCTTGCAGGTTGCTGACCTCTCATTTTCCTTGGCAGGTACGGGTTCATAGAAGGGCATGTGGTGATCCCTCGGATCCATCCCAACTCCATCTGTGCCGCCAACAACACCGGAGTGTACATCCTTACGTCCAACACCTCGCACTATGACACGTACTGCTTCAACGCGTCAGGTTGGTTCTCGGTGCACTGTCTTTACGTTGTCTTTGGTGGCAGTTGCATAGTAGCAGCTCACTTGTGGCCTAGGTGGGGAAACAGGTAGCCTCCATTCATGTGACAAAGACTCACGGACTGCCTATAGCAGAGATAAGATTCTTGTCTCCATGGGTTTACAGGTGCAACTTGGGGAAATGATTGGAAAATAATAAATATTAAGCACTTTATATGAAGTCAAAGAAATAGAGCAAAATACATAGATATAGAGTGCTAGGATTTTTTTCCAGAGAAGGGCACCAAAGAAAACCCTCCCTGGAGATATGCATTTAGGGAAGCCCTGACTATAATGGAGGAGTGAAGCTATTGGCAGAAGGGGTGACCAGTGCAAAGCCAGCATGTCTGAGCATCTTTCCTGATCCAGGGAGGCTAGGGTGGCTGAAATCTAGTGTTCAGTGGGGAAAGTGTCAGGAAATGGAGTCAGAGAGCAAAGCAAGAGCGAGATCCTGTAGAGCAATCCACTGTCAGTATGATGGGAAGTCATTGTGGGTTTTGTCTGAAGGAGGGACTCGAAACTGGTGAGAGTCTGGGGGTGCAAATGACTTAGCTGGAAGTATTGTTTTATGTTGAAGGTGAGGAAGATATAGGACAGACAGGAAGGCCAACCCTTCCTGAACATCCTTCACCAGTGGTTGAGACAATGAGAGACTAAGAAAGTTAAGAGAAGAGGTCGATTCTGGACTGCTGGCCAGCCTGCTTCTCTGTCTATGAAACTTTGTTCTAATCAGTAGCACAAAAATTCATGTTACCAGTCTAATTCAAGCCCAGAAAAATCAAAGAATTCAAGATCCTTTGAGGTCTTCACCATAAATGTCCAATGTCTGAATGCCAACTATCAAAAGTCACTCTGAGCCTTCAAGTTTCCCCCAGCAAAGGAAAGGCAAAGACTTGAGGTGAACTCCTCACACCTACCTTCCTGGAGTTTTCATCTCCCTTAGTGATGGCAAAGGGTATTAAATTAGTTGCAAAGTAACCTAAGACATTACCCACATGAGAAATATAGATTTATGTACAGTGATAGAATATAAAATCTAGGTGGATTTTTAAGCTAAAAAAGGGACATCAAGGACCTTGTGAAGTTACATTAGTGTTACAGTTTCACCACACACTGATTTTTGCATGAACAGTAAGATTAAGATGGGAATTCAGAGGGGGAAATCTATGGTTCAAGAGAAAAAGAAAGTATTAGGGCTGGACAATAGAAATGGAGTCTAGGAAGCCAGTAATGTCTACCAAATATAGATAGTTCACTGAACGGATGAGGACACACAAGCCAAAGAAAATTGTGGAATGTTTTCTCTGCCTTGTATGAACAGAAGTCACAGATGGAATTTGATCAAAAGGAAGAAAATCTAATGGGCCTTAGACAGTACAAGTTTCATACCCAAGGTGTCCATTCTGTTATGATAAACACAACCATATACAGTTAAGCTGGAGCGAGATACAGAGCAGCATGGGGTCCAGCTTGCTCTGTCTTGCTACATGGGGTCAGGGACTGAAGGATCTGGCATGAGCCGGCACACCCTCAGGGTCTCTAGATACTGCCTCTTGCTTCTTCTACTGAATCCTGGCCAGGGAAAGTATGTAATAAATTATGTAGTTCTGTTCCCACATTGTCTTGCCTGTTTTACAAGTTGGTGTCACTTTGAATTAATGTTTTGAGGGCCTTAATTCAAAAAGGCAAAAGCTTATTCTGTTTTATGGCCTGGAACTAAAGCCTGCCAGGCAGGCAATTATTAAGGCTTTTGTCCATAGCCTGAGTTTTTCCCATGAGGCTGGGTCCATCCTCAGGGCAGGAGACAATAGCATTGATTAACTTTGCTCTTTGTAGAAAAAGAAAAGACACCAGAAGTGTAATTCTTACTCAAATGGCTACATTAAAACAGAAGGTTAGAAGTAGTTTTTGCTTTTGTTTCTTCCAAATTGACTCAATGTTGACAGGCCTCTTCTATAAGTTTTCCTTAAGTTCAAAGAACAAATTTATTGGCTAATAATACTATCATAAAGGAGTAAGAAAATAATACTATTAAGTATTATTACTTAATAATATTGATTATACTAAATAATATCATTTAGTATACTTAGTATTAAGTATACTATGTAATATTAAAGGTACTAATAATACTTATAATACTAATAATAATACTAAGAGAGTAAGAAAGAACTAGAGGTTGTATTTCTTGACTTCACACTCACTGAACTAATGAGCCACAAATAAAGAAACTAGAGTCAGGCTGGCCAGATAGCTCAGTGGACTAAAGCACCTGCTTAGGCAAGTGCTAAGGGACTGGAGTTCAAACCCTATGCTGTACCCATCTCCAGGGCACACTGAGACAGCGATTGAGATTGGGCATGGTAGCGTGCACCTGTAATCCCAGCACTTGGAAGGCTGAAAACAGGAGAATCACTACGAGTCCAATCTGTGTAGTGAGACCCTATAGACCCTGTACTAAACACATTTAAAAAAAAAAAGAAAAGAAACTAGAGAAGGGGTAACATTGGTCAAAGCTAAATCAGTTTTGATTTAGTGAAAGTGTGGGGGATTAAGTAAGTTAAAGATCTTGACAACATTCTGTCTCATACAAGGGATCCTGCTGGACAGATCCTAGTGGCCAACTAAGGCTGATGATTTAGCTCAGTGGCACAGTACATGCCTAGCAAGTACAAGATCTTGAGTTTGATTCCTTGTACCAAAATAAAAAGTGATATTTCCTAATGGCTTATTTAGCTGGAGCACTTCAAAAATATGAAGCCCCAATCTTAGGAAACCCCCCTAAATTGGCTATAGTGACCAAGGCCAACTGGCTTTTAGTAAATAGCTTCTGCACCCTTAAAATCTTAGTGGTATTTTTGTGTCTTATAAATTAAAAAATATGGTAGCCCCTGAAAATGTTTTGCTGATTTTACTGCCTTATGTCTCAGTAATGAAGGCACAGCACAGGCCTGGGGACTTCTGGGAGAGGAGATAGAAAATTAGTTTAAGGTCATTTTAATGCCTCTTTCCCTTCTGAAGGCAGAATTAGGACAGCAAACTCTACATTCATTTGTTTACACACTCCTTTGTTTGACCACTGCTTGAGAATGTTTGTGGGTTCCCATGAAGTGCTTCCCTTTGAAGAAGGTTCCTTTTTCTCTATACCCAGAGGTCAGTGGCGAGCCTGAAGAACTAGTCGTTCTTTTGGTCATCTTGGTGCCGCAGCATCAGGGTTTCTGAGAATGCAGCCCACCAGGAAACCTCAGTATCTGTCTAACAAATGCCTGGGCTCTGGGATACCTCTGCAGGCTAAATCTCCCAGCCATGAAGTACTCATTAAATAGAATAAAAAGCTGTCTAATGAGGCCTTAAGATCTGTAGTGGGAGCGCGAATGTACTAATTGCACATTTAGGTCACCGTGTATCTTAGCATCCTTGCCAGATCTGATGTTCTTCATCAAAGTTTAGGTGAAATGGAGCATGAAAGAAAGACCATATGAACACATGATGTCACTGGTCACAAAACTGTCTTAGAGTTTTGACATGCCCCATCCCCTTATAACTTACCTCTTGAAAATGTTCAATATGCTACTGCTACCTGTGGCTGTTTAAAATTTTGGGGAGGGTGTCGCATCCCTGGCACTAAGAAGTTATAATTCAAAACCAATTTCTGCACACATGCAGTATGCTAAGATGAGGTGCAACTCTTAGCTCCAGCCATTCCTTGTGATCCCCAAGACCACAGGGGCAGATACAGGTTGGTTATATGCCCTTATTTCAAACAAGACAGTTTTGAAGAAGAAAAATTGTAAAAGATGTAATAACTATAGGCCATTAATTATTTTCTCTATAACTTTGTGAATTCCTCAGAAACAGGGACAGAAATGTGATTCTTTTTCTCCTTTATTGCTAAACAGTCTGACATACATGTGTTGAATAAACCCTTCAAAAGAATCAAGGAGCATCTATACCAGCAACTTCCTCTAGTTGTGACTATAGCATTCTGTTCAAGGTTTTTCTGCATGGTTTTTTTTTGTTTTTTTTTTTTTTTTTTTACTTATTTGTATTTGTGTATTACTTGAGTTTAAGTATTTTAAGTATACTTAATAGGAGAATTGACCTTTGAGAAATTATATTGACTCTTTTTTCCTATATCATTCATTCAATAAATACTTACTGAATATCTATCTATTCCCATCACACATTAAAGTTCTGGCCAAGACAAGGCTGCTACTCATACAGTGGAGCTTTTACATGTCTACTGGGGGTGGTAGCAGGAAGTGGGAGTTGGGAGAAACACCATGAACAATCACCAAGGGAATTGAGCCAGATAGCAGCAGACAGTGCTAAACATAAAGAAGATATGAAAGCAAGATGAGGAGTGATGGTGTCAGGTGTGAGGAAGTGAGGAATGACTTCACCAAGGAGGTGACTTTCCCCTAATAAAGAGCCTCTTCCTGAGAAATCCTTTAAATCAGGTTTAACAAGAATGACTTTTCCCTAAATCCACTTTTCCCTAGTTGACTGTGTAAAACTGCTAGGTACTTTCACTACGAGGCCAAAGAAATGCTAGAGTAAGACAAATCTCCACTATCTGTAGGAAAGATGTTCCCTGGTATTTGTAAGCAACTCATGCTTGTTTTGTCCAACTTGTGTTTTTGTCCAATGTTATCCATCAGTTTATGGCAAGACATTTAGAATACTTGTAATCACAAGTATTGACTGCCTGCCTCTGTCTCTCTGTTCCTCTCTGCACACATCCATCTATCCCTTCATTTTTTTTCTTTTCCAGAAAAGCAATTCAAGAAGACATCAGTTTGACAAATAAATCAAAACATGTTTGAACACACACTCATGCACATACGCACACATACATACACACACACACAGTAAAAGTCATAATGAAACATAAATCCAACCTTCAGTAACAGCAAAGCCAGTTTAAAGCTCTCTGAATGTTTTAGAGCTCACCACAAGCTCTAGCTATTCCTAGCGTCCATCCATACCCAAATGGATGAGCATGGATGGGCCTTTGGGCATGGATGGAATAGCTAGAGCTTGTGGGGAGAGCCTTTGGGCATGGAGGGCGGTAGGTTAAACTACCCTGCAGTCTGTTGGTAGAACCTCAGGTGTGGCACACAGGTGGGACTTTTACAGTCTATTTTACAAGGGCTCCAAACAGTACTGCTCAGAGGGCTACAAGATAATCTGTAGGTAAACAGACAGCACAAGGTTCAGCTGGCAGTCCTGAAGAAAGGGTTGGGGAGAAGAAGTTAGATGGAAAACAAAGGAAAAACAAGTCCAAGGGGCCCACTGTGAGATACGCCAAGACAGTTGTCTTAGGAAGATTCCTGTGCGGAAGGGCCAACCTCAGGTACACGCTGAGAAGCGGTCTGTGCAAAATGGCCACCTGTAGAGGTCATCGTATGAAGAAAATGATATACAGAAAAAGGACTATTTTTTAAAAATATTTGAATCAAATACCTACTTGCTTTTGTTACTTTAATCTTCAGTGTCATACTGTTTGTCCTGATAATGTCTACCCTGGTTTTCTATCATTTCTGTTGGTATCTGGAGTGAAAAATGCTTTTTCATGATAAACCATACATTTCATTGTTTTATAATGGATGATATAGCAATCAAAAATTCAAATCAATTTGATTTAACTATTCAGAAGGGCCCATCTCTACCTATTAATAATTAAACCAACACCTTCCACAACTTCAGACATAAAACACATACGTGAATGAATGAAATTGTTAATGTTGTGATTTCCAGGAAGTTATAAAGTTAAACAAAAAAATGGAAAATACGTCCTGAAAAGCAGTGAAACTCCCAGCAGGCTTAGCAAATTTCAGGAAAAGAAAATGATTTGTGACAAGTTATAATAAAACTCTATACTAACTGACTTACTGAAATGGAGGTAGGCTTACAACATACATTTTTAGAAGTTTCATTTTTTTCCACTTGTCCCATAGCTCCTCTTGATGAAGAAGATTGTGCATCAGTCACAGACCTGCCCAATTCCTTTGAAGGCCCGGTCACCATAAGTAAGTATCCCTTTTCATCTTGATTGAATTTTCCCATTCTTAGGAGAGGCATCAGATGTGTTCAGTATCGTTTTTATTTGACTAAAATGTTAGTCATTTCCCTAAGGCTAGGGAAGGTTGACTGTGATTCAGGGTTCCTTGTCATTTCCCTGCGTTGGCTTAAAATTGTCCCCTGCTCTACCCCTATACACTGTTCCTTTGCAAACTGCTTTTCCACATTTCGGGCATAGCTGTGTACTACCTGGCATTGCCACCTACTTTTTCTCTTAACTGACCTTTTTTCTTCTACTTAAAATGCATACGTTTTCTTAATAAACAAAACCAAACAAACAAACAAAAAAACCCTACAAATAAGAAACCAACATTACTTGTCCTGATTGCAGGTAATCTTAATATTTATTTATTTATTTATTTATTTATTTGGCAGAACCAGGGATTGAACTCAGGCCCTTGTGCTTGCCTGGCAAGTGCTTATTCTACTGAGCCATCTCCCCATCCCCTTAAGATCAATTCAAGTGTAAGAAAAAGTAAATACTATTTTTTGCTTGTAGCTGCTGAATGCTGTGACCCTACACTGTGCTTGTCTTTATGGATGGACTGAGAAATGCCAGGGACAGGGGCATTCTGCCTCCAAATGAGAATTCTATGTTTGCTTTCACTAAATATTGAAAGATATCCATGAATTTCATAAACTTTCTGTTGTGTTTCAACATTACCTTATTCACCTTCAATCATCTTGGTTATCTGCAGAAATATGAAAATGGTAGTTTAGAGAACCAAAACTATCAAACAGGGCAGTCCTGATCATATTTGCCTTTGCTTGCTATTTCTCTGAGTAGGAGCATAGAATTGAGGGTGTCTGATGTCTGCCTCCTGGAACCATATCCCAACAAGGGGGCTTAGCATGGAGGTAAGAGTAGTAAGGGGATGAGAATCTTCCCAGACCACATGAATCCAGCCTCCTACTGCAAGGAATTGTCTGCTCTTTTCTTGCAATAGAAAGGGGAGGCTTTCCTTTCTATTGGCTACTGTGTGAAACGTTACGTTCCAGTTGAGTTCGATTTGCAATCTTATTTCCTCACCCCTGTCTGATTTTAGAGGCGTGACTTTTTCTGAACTTCAGTTTCCTGTCATGCAAAATGACACAACTGGGGCTGGGGAGATGGCTCAGTAGAATAAGGCAAACCTGGCAAACACAAGGGTCTGAGTTCAATCCCCAGTTCTGCAAAAAGAAAAAAAAAAAAAGCACAATCTATACAAGTAGTTAAGAAACTTAAAAAAATACTATGTCTAATGCCTGCCTTGCCCATAGTAAATGTTCAGTTAATGTCAAATTTCCTTGGTTCTCACAGATCTCTTTTAAAGGCCAGATTTATGCTATGGTTTGACTATGTTCCCTTGAGGTTTGTGTTATATGTTTATGGATTTGGAGTTGGGACTTGAGGCTCTAAATAAGATTAGATGGAGTCAAGAGGGTAGAGCTCCTATGACACATTAGTAGTTTTATTAGAAGAGAGAGACGTGAGCTAGCATACTTGCTAGGTCTTAACACATATGTGTTCTTCATGGTATGATATAGCAAGAAGACCCTGCCAGGTAACAGCACCTTGCTCTTAGATTTCCTTGCCTAGCCCCATAGCTGTGAACCCAGGAACCTTCTATTCTTCATAGATTATCTGGTCTCGAGTATTTCATTACAGCAACAGACAATGGACTAAGCCAGTAATGCTTCTGTCTTAGATCTTCACATGCAGAAATTATCAAGGCATTGAGACTTTGGATTTTTAAAATTTGCACTTGCTGAGCAAGCTTGGTAAATGGGCAGAAAGAATCTTTGATTTTGCTGATGTAATTCAGCAGAAAATTATCTCAGCTATACACAGCCATGTAGTGAATGGCCCCAATTTAAAGGCAGCAAGTACTTTCAGGAACAAGCAATGAATAAATTCATCTATATTTTTCCCTTCTGGTCCATTCTAGTCATTTGCCCATTTAAGCCAAAGGTTTTGATATTTAAATACATCTGAGCTTGCCAATTTCAAGGTTGAATTTTAGAGAATGACAGAAACTCTGTCAATATTTAGTTACACTTACTTCCCAGTCAGGAGTAAGGGTTTGCTCAGCCAAAATTTTTTCCTTACAGAGAAAATATGTTTCTTCATGGATTTGCTGGTATATCTTCCTTGTGGAGTTTATTAGCCTGCTATTTCAAATCTTTTATGGAAATGGATAGAATTAATAGCAACAAATTTTTCTTATACTTCAGAAAGTATAAGGGACCAGGTAGGGTAATTATCATTTATTGAGCATCTATTTATTTTGAATTCTATGCTAAATACTACTTACGATATATCACATAAGGGCCATAACAACTTTATCCAGAAAGCAATAGCCTTGCTTTATAAATGAGCAAGCTGAGGGCCACTAGGTTACCTGGGCTAGAACTACATGGGCCCGAAACTCACACATGGGTGCTCTCCAGTATCTCTTCTTTTACCTCCTCATTTCTAGGGTTTAGCGGTGTCTTAGTTGCTTTCTCATTGCCTACACACAATACCCAACACCCACAAGTTAATGAAGGAAAGGTTGATTGCAGTTTGTAGTTGACAGAGATTTCAGTCCATAGTTGCTGGCTCCAAAGCAGGCATCATGGGAGAGGAGAAATAGTTCATGGTGTGGCAGGCAGAAGGTAGTAAGCAGCAGGCAGCAACAGCAAAGCCTCCTTTTCCCCTTTATCCAATCCAGGCTATAAATCTGCTGTGTGTTGCCATCCACACCCAGGGTGGAGCTTTCCATTACCAAAGTCCAGGACTATGAAAAACCAATTAGTAGACCAACCTAGTATTACACACCCACAATCCCAATAATACACCTTTAACCCATGTTTATACCCTAGATCCAGCCACCTTTGTAAAGCCCCATCTTTATAGGCCTTGGAGGGACACCTAGACATAAGCCACAACATGAGTTTGGAAAAGAATCCTCTTTCTTCTTGCATCAGCCACTGTATCTTACCACTAGATAAACAGATATTTTCCTTCATAAAAACAAATTTAACTTCAAGGTCACTATTTTGTGTGACAATCCATAGACTTCCCTATACTCAAAAACTATCATCTGGGAAGTTCTGAAAATGTCTTTTCTTTCCCCAAGATATAGTCAACCGTGATGGCACCCGCTACAGCAAGAAAGGAGAATACAGAACACACCCAGAAGACATCAACTCTACCAATATTATCGATGATGATGTGAGCAGTGGGTACCCTGGTGAAAGGAGCACTTCAGGAGGGTACAGCATCTTCCACACCCACCTTCCAACTGCACACCCGACCTCTGATCAGGCAAACACCGAGGTCTACGGAAGTACCAGTAAGGAGTCTGAATCACTGTACTTTCTGATAGCAGTTCTGTGGCAAAACGTCTCCAGTCTTCCTGCACCACGTGTACTCAAGAGTTGACTTTCTTTTGTTCCTAAATATCTAGACATAAGCGATTTCATTTGGGCAGGTGGCTCCTGTGCTTGTCCTTGATCAGTGTGCATTGACTAGAATTGCCTATAATTTTTGTCCTCTGTCTACAACTCTAGTTTCTCACATTAGGGTAAGATATGTCATTTTATAGGTTGGTCTTTGGTTTTTTGTTCCTTTGCTTGCTTTTGAAAGAGCCTATCTCCCTTTCTTCTCTCATTCCTGAGATATGGGGAACATCGCAAACTGATACAGGAAGTTTCTACTTTTGCTTATTTATTTCTTTCTTCCACAATGGGTAACACTGTTTTTGGGATCCTAGAGTTTGTATAGCCTCCTACAGCCTTCTTTTCCATCTAGCTTTATGGTTTTATGCTTTAACTCGATCAATGCTGAAGTTATTGATTGCATAATATTTAGTCATATTCATCAACAATGATTTACTAAACAATTCCTTTATTTTGGAGGCATTTTCTCATCAGATCTATCCTCAGATTTAACCCTCTCAGAGTCCCACACTCCAGTCTATTGGGCAAGGTCCTCCTTGCTTCTCTGGTGTGTGGGAACTGCAAGAGTGGAGCTATGTGAACACTGCATTAGGTGACTTTGAGTTTGGGGTCTGGGCTGTAGTGTCACCAGAAATGGAAAGTGCGTACCTCTCCTCTCACCTCCTCCTTCACCTCCCTCTCGGCATTTCTCTATGGTTTATTGAAAAACAGCTTTCTGGATTGGCTGTGCTCTTTCTGTGGAGGATTATTGAAACCCAAACAGGGCACCTGAGGGGGTTTCCTAGTACAGCGTGGATTTTCTCTCCTCCCAGCTTTGGCTCCTGAGGGGTGGGACTCGGGCCTCCAGACAGCGTGGCACAAATTGACTGGTTTGTGAATATGTAAGATGGGATCCTTTCTTTTCGCTTGTCACCTAGAAGCCATGGAAACTGCCAGAGGTCTCTGACTGAATCGGAGGTGACTCACCCCACAGTGTTTTAAATTTGTCAGCAGCTCTGTAAGGGGTGGCTATCCATCGGCCTGGGGTTCTGGTCTTTCCTGAAAAGTTCCTTGAAGCAGTTCAAAAAGCAGATCTGCTCCAACTGCCCATGCTTCCTGAGTGGTGGTTCTCCGGAGCTGGAAACACCTGGCGAGAGGTTTGTGCCAGTAAGGCAGGCAATGCTGCTGCTGCTGCTGCTCGCTGCTCCATAGGTTGCCACTTTTTTTGGTACTGAGTATTGAAACTGGGGTCTTTGGACTAAATTCCAGTCCCAGCCCATTTTTTATTTTGAGACAAAGTTGCTCTAAGTCACTAAATTGCCCAGGGTAGGCTCAAACTTGCACTCCTCCTGCCTCAGCCTCTCAGAGTGCTGGAATTACGGATCTCTGCTAGCATACACGGTCTGCCTGCCTTTTTAGCCTAATCATGTTGAAGATGCTTCTCGTTAGAGCCCACAATCATGTCAGATGTTAGAAAACAGTAATTAATGATACCTTCAGGAAGCAGAACAGGTAGAACCTAAGGTCTCATTTCCCACTGAAGAAGAAAATCTTCTCAAAATATGTCTTGTAGGGATTAGATGAAATTAACATTCATGCTGCAAATAGCCTAGAAAGCAGTGAGGAGAGAGAGAGAGAGAGAGAGAGAGAGAGAGAGAGAGAGAGAGAGAGATTAAAGAGAGAAGTCAGGATGAGTAAGAATTTTCAGACAATACTCTTAATCTTTTCTATGTCAAATATTGCTCGAGTAGTTACTGCCTCAGACGAGTGGGCTTATCTTCACAGGTGAGACATCCTACCTAGTTCAGAAATCAAAGAAAAGGAGTGTGTAAGACTTAACTAAAATATAGTTCAGGATTTGATTTGAGCAAAGAATTTTTCTTTCCTCCTCACAGAGAACACTTACCTAAGTTTCTTTTTAACAGAGTTACCCATGAAAGAGACTTCATTTGAGTCAGTGCTAACTCAAGAGTCATTGAAGTGCTTGAGGATTCAGAAAGGCCAGTGGCAGCTCCAAGTGGATTAATTCATGCAGAAAAAGCATCAACACTAAAGAAACAACATCAGTAAACTCAGGTGGAAACTCAAGCACAGCATAATACATACTAGGAAAAGTTAGAGTAGAATCAGGAGATTCCCAAAGCCTTATCACTGTTGGACTGAGAACTGGGATGGAATGAGAGGGAGTGACTGCAGATCCTCCCTAATGCAGGCAGCGGGGTAGAGGTCAAGAGAAGGATTGGCAGAACGCATGGAAGAAGCTGGTCTCTGGCTTGATTGAGCCATTCCTTTTGTAAGTGTGCCTCATGGGTGGCCGTAGAGATGAGAACTACCTTCTGCTTAGGTTTGGACATCTTGCAGGCTGTTGATTGTAAATATTAGTTTTGGAAGAACTTTCTTGGAGATAGTTACAGCCCCTTCCTATTGGTGCTCTGGAACACTGGAAAAAAAAAAAAGAAATCTAAACTAATTCAGGAAGCAGACTCCTGCCTTGGAAAGCTCTATTTCCTTGTCTTTGGGTGTCAAACTCATAATTTTGGGAGGAGGGACATCTGGCAAGGCTTAGTCGGGTGGAACAGATTGGAAACTGCTGGCTAGGCCACAGCTGTCTTTTTTTTTTTTTTTTTTATTCTTCCCTCTCATGCAGGAGGACAGAGGTAATGCCTATTTCTATCTTGCTCATGAATGCTTATTTCTTGTGCTTTCTCCTTTCCCCGTATACCACAAGGTGAGTGTGTGGGAAACTCTGCATCTTTAGCAAAGCTTCTAAAAGGAGAACGAGGCGTCTGTAGGTGTGCAGGCTTACTGAGGGCATCATGAGAGAAACTGGCTCCTTGCTCTGCTCTCTCGCTGAACTAAGGTGTTCTTTTAGAACGATGTGTTACGTAGTGCCTGCTGCTGGCGTGTGGTATGTATAATTTTTAACTCTGCTTCATGGATTTTCAGTAGAGTCTACTAGGTAGTCTAGAATCACCTGAAATAATATGCAAGACTTTGAGAGTGTTTGTCCGAAGGGTCTTTTCCTCAATTAGAGAGGTTAATACACATCAGATTTTTCAAAGGAGTATGTGATTTTAAATGTTTTTGTGAACATTCTAGCTGGCTCAAATACTTATCCTAATGATT